ATACCATGAGAAAAAAAAACTACCAGGTACAAGTGTGAGTTATAAGGAGTAACATAAAAAGATTTCGGTTCAATAGATAGAAATCAAGAAGCTAAAAAAAATCATAAATTGAATGGTATATTATATATCGAAGTATATATACTGAAAGAGACGTTCACCATCTCTCCTATGCTCAAGCTTTAACAAAATCATTATGTCATCTCACAATCAAGGGAAGATTGTTAAAATATTAAAGTGTGAGTAGATTTGAGTTCAGCTGAGAAATCTTACATTAGACAAAATTAAATTTAATAATTAATTATAATAAAATAAAATAGCTATTAACTTGAGACTTGAAGTGATATTGAGTTAAAATGTGTGTTGTCTTTCACTGTTTGTCGCACATTTGTTCTCTTCTCTCATTTTTTATGCATTTGCTTCCTGTGCCTAAATGTGACTGATTTTAGATTTTGAAAAAACACGCTGTGCCCACCTTATAATTAGTAGATAGAAAATTGAATTATGAACGACAAGTTGATAGATGAAACATACATACAATAAGGAATTATGAGATGGCAAGTTATTTTGCTCTTGCAGGCCATTTGGCTTAAGGAAGGCTGTGGTGCTTGTCGCTTTAACGTGTGAATAATAGAAGACAAACAAAAGGAGCTGAGATTAATGAGAGAATATATTGTTGTTTGGTCAATGGAAGACCCACGGAGGTGACCCGTTGGAATGAACTACCGCTAATAGCGCTATCTTGAAATCATGCGCTTTTGGACAACAGCATCACTCAAAATGCCAGTCGCTTTCTTTATATATTTATGCATACACTCTCACTTTTCTTCTTCTGCAATTATTTTTCTCTAAAACGCACGACAATGATACTTGCGACCCTGTGTCTTTGAACAATTACATCCTTGTATATTGGCCGTCTGGAAATATATATCTATATATAGATATATAATGACTAATTATTTGCCCACCAGGTTGGAGATTGAGACCTTTCAAAGTTTGAAACTCAAATAGAAAAGCAAGAAACTCTCCAAGTGTAATCCAATAATGGTTGATGCAACCTGGGAAATATTGGATCTACATCGATCTGTTCGAACACATACACCTCCTTTGTCGATACGTGTATTTATTTTCGTATGGCACTATATGTACACTGCATCTCGTGCCATTCACTTTCTAAACTTAGAAGTACGTACGGACCAAGTAAGCTAGCAACAGTGTCCCAGCGGCACAAGACTGCTGGACATGGCGCAAGAATGATTGGTGAGGAGATATCTACTGTCTTATCAACCCAGAGCTCTCCATTATATGGGTGCGAATATGATTGATTTGTTCTTCATCTGCTTTTTGTGTTGTTTTAACGACAAGTTGACGGCAAATCCTAAATAATTGAGAGAGAATTTTTTGTTGCTGCTGGTCCAATATTGGACGGCCAAAATTTGATGCCTGATCATTTGTCCAAATCTGTCATCACATAAACGCAAGTCTCGTTGCGCTTAATAATACACAGGCCCAACACACGCATTCCATATACACGCACATGTATGTACAAGTGTATGTATCGTATTCCTATCCACATTCAATGTCAAAAAGATAAGGAGGGCACAGCGTACGTGTAGCCCCTCAGGCAGCACTAGCAGCAAAATGCTAGTCCACTGTAAAATTCACTAATAATTGACCCAATGACCGACAGATCCAGAAACCTGAAAAAAACACGCATTTGGCCCACTGTGACCGCACAGTGCTCTCACATCTTCTTATATATATATATTATGTGTGCCAATCTGTTTAGTGAGCGTGAACGACCTCACACATGTGTACTATATATGGTCCCATGTAATCTGAGATGAACTTATCCTGATAGAATCAGAGATAAAATAGAATCATCATCATCATTATCCTATATAAAAAGAAAAGGATGTAAGATCATGAAATTGCCTAGTGTCTAGCTATAGGAGGAATATGTGTGAGAGAAAGGCTTCAAAATTAGGAGTGCCAAGGAACAGTGCTGGGTAATATGGCTGAAATGTCCAAGAAATTAATCAACCCAGCTAGCCAGCTTGCTATCGCAATCAATTAGATTCAGCGGATAGCATTAAAGCTCATCATCATCGCGAATAGTTGAGAGTTGAGACATGACGATCGATCAATCACAGTTTTGTCCTGTTGCAGAAAAACATCAAAATAAAGCACGAGAAAAGAAGAGAGGAAGTGTTAGTACCAGTAATTCACACGGGTTCCTAGAGACAGGGCGTGACAATTCACAAATCAAGGATATTGAAGTGTGTACATTTTGGTCGCCAAACAACTTTTGACGGCCTGAATTTTCCCAGAAAATTAAAAGGAAAAAAAAAAAGGTGGAGTTTGGTGATAGCGAAATATGAAAAACGCGAGAGCCCTATTTGAGTTTGGAGACTGTACGTGTGTTGAGTGTTGATCATGGTAGTGGGGTGTTGAGGTGCCTTCTCTTTCAGAGCCCGCCATCATCTTCTTGCTTTGCTTTGCTTTGACCAGTGACCACAGTGGTCAGAAAGCTACGTCCCTACGTGATTTTTCTGGGCCTCACTATGGGGACCGGCCAAGTGAATTGAACGTACGTGTAACAAAAGAAACTATCGCGTGTCGAAATTACAGGTCATTCCCATCCTGTCCCATCGTGGAATGTGCCACGTGGACACCCAGGGAACGTCAGCATAGTGTGTGGATCGAGGATGTGCGCTGAATAGTGAATAGTGAGTAGTGGTGTCAAGGTTGAGTCCAGAATCATATTTGACAATCCTGTTCCTGTACGTATAGCAACAATAAATGAAGGAGAAGGACCATATAAATATTTAAAAAATAAATATGTATAGTAACTAAATAAATAAATCAAAAGGCATGGACCCTGTAGTTGGAGAAGATGAAGATTCTTCGTACTTGAGGAGATTGTGGGAGGCTGCGTTGCGGTTGGGTACTAATCATGACAGGTGGCGCCCAGAGGTTGAAATAGGCAGCAAGGGATGGCGACTCGCCCGGGACCTCAATCCTCATCCCTCATAGACATCCCGACTTTTCTTTTCTTTTTTGTTTTTTTTTGGCTACCTCAACGGCTGAAACTATTTAATCAAAGAAAAACTTACGCATAAGTATCACGCAGCTGGTTTGTTTAAAAATAAAGTTTATAAAATTTTAAAAACAAAATCCAATCCTTTAAAACTTAAGTGTAATCTAAATAATGATGCAAAGATAATACTGCCCTTATTTATAATAGATGATCAATTTAACTAATGAATATATAAAGTTGTAGTCGTAAAAAATTAAAGTGATAATTATAAAAAGTTATTGATAAAGTAATTATAAATAATTATTTTTAAATTTATTCGTAATGCATGATCAGTTTAGTTATTAAATATATAAAATTATAATTATAAATTACTGATGAAATAATTGCTAACAATTAATATTAAACTTTATTAATAATGTATGATTAGTTTAACTATTAGATATATAAAGTTATAATTATAAAATATTAAAGTAATAGCTGTAAATTACTAATAAAGTAATTATATGCAATTAATATTATACTTGTAATGCATAATTGGTTTAACTATTGGACATATAAATTTTTTTTTTACCAGCAAAGGAGACTTCATTAAGAAATGAAGTAAATAGAGTTCAATAATAGAGAAACAAAAATAGCAAATAAAAGTCTTAAGCCAGCAAGGCAGAGACAGGCAAAATTAAAACGAGAAGCAGAAAAATTGAAAAATTAACCAATGCCTTCTCTGTCTCTATTAATCACAGGTTGCCGATCTGAAGGGGTACCCAAGTCTAAATTAAAAATAGAGGAGAGAGGGAGTGGGGGATTGGAAATCCAACCATTGGAGACCACACCCTTAAGAGAAGAGGTTGCCAAACAATCAACAGCTGAATTTCCATCCCGCTTCACATACGAGAAAGAAATGAAATCCATGGACTCAAGGCTGATAAGAAAATCATTAATCATTCCATGATACGACTAAGGGCAAAGTTCATATCCTTTTTTTGAAATAGCATGACAAAGTTCCAGGCAATCCATCTCTATAATCAACAATGTTAGAGTTACTACAATCAGGCACTATTTGGGTGGCTTTTTGACAGGCAAGAAATTCAATCATGAAGCTGGAATCAGTTGTAACCAGTTCCCTCTAGCCTTTCAAAAAAATGCCTGAGCTCTCTCTTACAAAATTCCTATAGTTGCCCTCTTAGCCAAATGCGTGAAAGCCCCATCACAATTCATTTTAATTTTTCCAGCAGCAGGGGAGACCAAACATTTTGAAAATTTACCTGGCTTTTAGTATTCAAAGTGTTGCTGCAATTAATCTTCCAATACTAATCAACCGCAGCACTTGTAGAACGCATTACTTGCAAAGGGTTTAATGCAGCAATAGAAAACATTGACACTGATCTAGTCTTCTATATATTCTAGTAAAGATGAGCTATATAGGCCTTGTCATAATCCTCAATCTTACTATTCTCAACTAAAAAAGAGCAGACACCAATTTTTAAATGATGAAACAATGGATCCATAACTAAAGTTAGATGAGAACCAAACCAATTTTACGACCCCACTCTCACGGTAAAAGTAAGTGTTCAATAGCCTCTAGGTGATTTTTGCAAATAGGGCATAATGGGTCAACATCACATTTTCAAGAGAAAAGAGCATCTTTAATTGCACGTGAGTGATTTAATGACCTCCATAGAAAGTGACGGACCTTGGGGTGGATTTTCAGCTTCTAAATTTGTTTCTAGAGAGCACCTTACAGCTGAAAGAGGTGCTAGGTGTCAAAGTAAACATAGGGTGTTGTCGCGCGTGTTCCCTCCTATAGCTAAGTTTAGAGGAATATTTACCATTCTTGGCACCTATCCAGATAGCAATATCATTAGAGGAGCAAATAGGAATGTGAATTTGTTTAATGCATTCAATAGTTTCTTTTGAAGCTAAATCCTGTAAAGGAGATAGCCTCCAAACCCTGTTTGAAATAACGTCAACTACTTCCATGTTTGTCGACAGGAACACCTTCCGAATAAGAAGCTTTAAAACTTGGCAAACCTAGTATCCAAGGATCAGTCTGGACCCTAATGCCATGTCCAGATCCCACCCTATAGCAAGTATCCTTAAGTAGCATTTCTCTCCTAGCCAAGATGCTGCTCCATGCCCAAGAAGCTTTAGAACCATGACTTGCTTGCAAAAAAGAACAAGATAGGAAGTGAATTGCCTTGAGCGCTTGAACCCATTGTTGACGAGGGTTATTCAGCAAACGCCACACCATCTGAGCAAGCAATGCATCATTGAAGTTCATGAAATCCCGAAAGTCAATCCCTCCTTGATGTTTAGAAGCACAAAGTTTGTCCCCTGCCCTCCAATGAATGCTGTTTCTAAAATCAAATTGTCCCCAAAAGAAGTTAGCAACAAGGCTATTAAGTTCAGCACGAGTCCTCTTAGGGAATTTGAAACAATACATGAGAAAAATAGGGATAGCATTAATTACTGACTTAATCATAATTTCATAGCCAACAAACGATAAAAATTTTCTCTTCCAAATATGAACTTTCTTTCCGACTTTATCCCTCACATAAGCAAGTGCTGCCACTTTTGATCGACCCCACGAGATAGGGAGTCCAAGATAAGATCTTGAGTTTTCCACCGTCATAATATGAAGAAAAGAGTAAAATTCATCTTGAATGGCTTGTGGAGTATTAGTAGAAAAAAATATAGAGGACTTATCATAGTTAATTCTTTGACTTGAAGCATTGCAATAGGATTAAAGGAGATCTTTTCACTACTACAAAAATAATTTTTTACAGCAGTTAAAAATGACTTTTTACAGCGGTTAAATAGGTGATGTTGTTATAGGGGATGTAGAAAGTCTACATCGGTTATACGATCGCTGTAAAAAATACATATTCTACGTTGGCTAACTATAATCGATGTAGAAAATAGTTCAACAATTAAAAAATTAAAAACTGAAGCACTTTTTACGGCGGTTGTGTTGGAACCTTTGTAGAAAGAGAACTTTCTACAGCGATTGGAACTCCAACCACTGTAGAAAGTCCGCTTTCTACAATGGTTGTGTTGGAACCATTCTAGAAAGAGGACTTTTTATAGCGGTTGGGGTTCCAACCGCTGTAGAAAGTTTGCTATTTTACACCGATTTTTACATTAACCGATATAGAATATTAATTTCTACACCGGTTATGGTAATAACTATTGTAAAAAGTGTATTTTATTTTTAAAATAAACATTCATATTTTTAAATTTACCCTACTTTGTATACAAAAATTACCACAGCCAAATCAGACAACTCTATTTACTTACAATTTTCAATATAAATTTAAATTAACAACTGTCCAAAACTCAAAGTTATCTATAAACTATCTAAAAACTATATATTGAGCTATCCAAAATATTGTGTCAATAAATGTTTTCAAAAGTTGTCTATAAATAACAAACTTCTTAAATTGTATGAAACTTTTTACAAAACTCACAAATTCTCCCCAAAATAAGTTGCCCAATGTATGTGAATGTCTTCAATTTCAGTTTCAGGGAATGGATCTGAATTGTCAAACATCTAAAATATAATTTGTAAAAGAGACTTATTATGTACTCTCAAATAATATAATAAAATAAAAATCTTAATATTTACTTCTTTTGTAAATTCAATCATACCCAATGTGATAATGTTGAGCATATGTCTCATGACATATAGGCCACACAAATTCATCTTCATTGGTTGTCTACGGCTCTATATAAGAATAAATCATAAGAAATCAATAAAAAAATCATAATAATTGAACATATTCATAAAGTATAGCATTACCTTTGGCTTGATCCATGTAGGATCCTTGAGCTCATATTCATGCTTTTGTAAGACCACATTTTGATATGTTTTCATTGCTCTATGTTCAAGATCACCAAGTTAGTAACTAAAATATTTAGTGTAAATTATATTAAATATTTTTGCACAAATATACTTATGAGTCTATCGTCTTCTTCATTTCCTTCCCAAGTTTGTAATAGAGGGAACATAAGAAGATGATAGTGTTGCTCTTCATTGAAAGAACAAACAACTACTAATGGTCCCTACAAAATATGACGAGTTAAAGTAAATCTACATCAAAAAAACTATTAATTACAAATTGATCCTTACGAGTGCACGTATGGAGTTATAAAAACATCTTTTTTAACTTCACATATTCTTTGTTGGAGATACTGGGCCATTAACTCCAGAGTATTCCCTTTCTCTGTCATGTGATGCAGGTAAAGGAATTCAAACTTTTCACCTTTACCCGATGTGATGCACAAATGATGAAGGTACCTATAGTAATACAATTGTGTTAGATCACTAGACATGATAATTAAGTTAATTTCATTAAAGAAACACAAACTTACATCATAAATAGTTCCATGTGTGGTGTGGTAAGCTGACTATCTGACAAATGTCCAAGCAAATCTTCCCGTTCAATTATCACTATCATATCTTTCTTACCCACAACCTCCAAATCCATTTCTAAATCTTTGAATTTGAATGATGGATCATACGCCATTAAAATCGTTTGTTGGTGTGAAGTTAACGAGGGTTTTGGAAGTTTGGGGAGATTCGGCGAGAAAAGCTATTATAAATAATAAAAAAGAAAGAAATAGTTAGTAAGAAAACATTTTAGAAAAGCTGCAACATAATAAAATTGCATACCACAGGTTGAACCATATTCACAAGTCTCTTGGGCCACAGGATAAAATTACCAATAGCTTTTGCTATAATCTTCACCTCATCAATAGGGAATGGAACCAACGCGTTTCGCACTTTTAAATCTTCAACCACCACTCTTACTTGATAATCTTGAATTTGCTTATGCTAGATGGTTGACCCCAAGATTGTAAATACTACTAAGAGCAATCAAGCGTCTATCAGATCTTCTAGAAACATCTCGTATGGTTCACCAATGTTGTCACCAGAAGGACCTTCTAACACATGCTCAAGAACATTACTCCCTTTTGTGCTATGAAATCTAGGAGATGTATGAACTGGTTCAGTAGGCGTCTCTTGTCGTGAGCTCATCATGCTCATCATCTCCTCCTTCATTTTCTCTTTCATTTGTAAAAGCCAGGCCTCAAATGAAGCTTCAAACTCTTCTTTAGTTTGCTGTCTCACAGTAGATATCACTGTTTCAAGTTCTTCTCTAGTCACTACACCTCCTGAGTTGGGGCGTAAAAGTGCTCCAAAGTAGTCTCTTACGCCCATACCATGTCCAACGCCCCTCACACGATTCGGATGCTCTAGTTTTCCTATTGCAACCGTTAAGATAGTATTTCTGCCCTCTGAAATGAAACTTCCTTTGGCTTGTTGCTCTTTAAGAGTATCCTGTAATATAAAAATAACAATCTTAATTAATATTATATATATTAGTACAGAAATTTAAGGGGATAAAAAATAATAATATTACTTACAATCCTTTTAGCAATCTCGTGCACCGTCTCACTTGTATAGCCTTTTTTGCCTCTTTTTTTATATTGGTGTCCATATCTCCATTTCTCCTCTCATGAGACGGGGGATGGTGGAGAAAGGAGTATGAAAGGATTGGACTTAGCTTTTTCTTCTCTCTTATTCTGTTTCTCCACCATTAATATACCATCAGCCCTAGCATAACCCCTATGAGACAACGTGTGAGGGCCTTAATTCTGTCGAGCAATTTCCTGCCCTCTAGCTTGTTTTTCCTGTTAAAAAATTAATTTTGAATTTTATAGTTGAAGTAAAACTAAAAAAACTTAAATTAATTAGAAATCAACAGACCAAAGCTTTTTCAGAAGTTCGAATCCTGATAACTTCTTACCAAGTATCTTTATCAAGGAACTGGTATGTGTCGAGAGGATTAGGAGGAGCCTGACCCTCTAGCACCTCAATATGGATATATCTCCTAGTAAGAACAGTCTTGAAATTTCTCCAGCGCATTCCACAGTAGGAAATCAACTTGTGTTGGCAATCTTGATTAGAAGGAATATCATATGTGAGCTGCAATTAAAACACAAGATGATAATTAATAATTTAATAATGATATATAACTACATGCATAAATTAATTACATACCTGAATAATTTCCCATATCTAGTCTTTCACACATTCTGGCACATCAAACTAGTCTTTAAATACAATAGGGGCTTGGTACGAGATAGGAGGCTAAGAAAACTAATAAATTTGGCCTTGTGTTCCCCTATCGGATTCCATCTCTGATTAAATTAGATTGGTAACCTGTATCCAGTACTCCTGCTTAATGTCAAATCTCTCAATCGTGTGCCACGTTTACCTCTCCTCACAGACTGGCTCTCACTAGGGGTACCTTGACTTGAGTCATCACCAAGTGGCTGGCTAATAGTGAGCTGGCTTTGAGTATCATCACCATGTTCACTCTGATACTCCATGTTCCTATTAATTCATATAGATTAAATTAATTAGAAAAATAAACAAATATAATATAGTTAGAAAACCTAATATAAATTTAATTGAACTTAGAAAACATACTTTAATTTAAAAACTAAATTCATATAGGGATATTCTCATATATCCCTTCATGGTGATCATTTCTTGTAGCATGTTTGTCATCTACTACATTTAAAATTGGTAGCCCTGATGAGAAAGTAGGGGTTTCAGAAATATCGAAGCTTGATTCTTGATTATCATCACTATATCACCATTTTTCCTTTCAGTATTATTGACTAATTTTTATTTTCTGGATCTATCACATAGAAAACTTGTTTAGCTTGGTTTGCCATGATAAATGGCTTATCCCCATAAGTTAGTTTTTTAAGATCAACCATTGTAAATCCTAATTTATCATCATGAACACTATTGATGTCAACCCATTTGCATTTAAAAACAGGAACTCTAAATTTTGTATAGTTAACCTCCCAAATCTCTTCAATAACCCTAAAATAAGTCCTTGCTGCTAGTTTAGGTTTCTTATCTTTTGAGCTAGAGAAGTGAAAGGTTTCAGCCATTATCATAACCCCACTATTTTGCACTGTACTCTTTTCATCTAAGGACTTTGTGTTGAAAGAATACTCATTAATATCATATGCATTCCAACATATAACATCAAAGTTAGGACCTTCTGCCAACCATTTAATTGTATCAAAAATGCTACTTTCATTCAAAACTTTCTGCTTGAACCAATCTACAAAAGTAGCTCTTTCAACATCCTTTGTTCAGTCATTCTCATTTGATAATTTTCTACCTTTAAAAGTTCTTTGTGAGAAGAAATGTATTCTTTAACTTCATCAATATTATTCAAGATATATAAATGTACTTTTTGTAATTCATCATGACTCATGCTCTTTACTGATACTCCATGTGTGCCTTGACCTAATTGCCTCTTCTCATGACTAGATTTAGGAAGTCCAATTGATTTTGTACTTGACAAGTAATTAGAAAAAAATTCCATGGCTTCTTCGACAACATATTTTTCAACTATTGATGCTCCAAGTCGATATAGATTTTTGACATACCCTTTTAGTATTTTTATGTATCTTTCAACTGAGTACATCCATCATAAATAAACAGGGCCACATAATTTTACCTCCCTCACTAGATGCATTATTAAGTAAACCATAATGTTAAAAAAAGTAAAAAGAAAGTGCATCTCAAGTTGGCACAAAATC